CTGAAGCAAACAAAGAAACAATTGAAGAATAAGTTGGATAATATGAAAAAGGAATATACATGGTTTATGGAGCTCAAGAATTTTGCCACTGGTCTTAGATGGAATGAGGCAAAGCAAACGGTTGACTGCTCCAATGAATGGTGGGATGAACACCTAGCTGTAAGAATTGTATACTGTCCTTTTTTCATTTATCATTTTGCATTTTGATTTGTTAACTGTGTATATGGGCTGACTTGTTAACTTTATCCATTTATTTTTAGAGATGCAATAATCCTGATAAAAGTATCAAATGCAATCATGTTAGGTTCAGAAAACAAGGACCGAAGCACCTTGATGATCTTCATATGTTGTTTGATAAGATACATGTTAGCGGGGCAAGTGCATCCTGTCCTGGGAATATTTCCTCCGATGACCCAAGTGATGAGGATGTGGGTGAGATACAAAAACCTCCAGATAATGATGATGTCAAGTTGGCTGCTTTGAAAAAAAATCGAAACCAGGGAAAAAGAAACAAAAGGAGTCCTCTACTGCTACTGACGAAAAGGATGAGAAGAGCCCATTCTTTCGCATGTACAAGAACACATGTTTGAAGATAGAAACTGCAGCAGAGAAGATCTCGACAGTGTTGAAGCATCATCTGCACCTCCAACCAGCCAAGTCCCTAGCATTGCAGAGGCCATGAAAATGGTTGAAGATTGTGGGGGTGCAAGAGAAAACAACTCTAATGCATACATCCACCTTTCTGATTGTGAAGCCTGAATTTAGGGAGGTCTTTAGCATGCTGGTAACAAAAGAAGAAAGGTTTGACTTGCTTGAGAGGGAGCATGCAAAGGAGTTGATGAGGCGCACGTAGAAGCTTTCAGTTATTTATTTTTACTGTTGTGTTGTGAGAACCATTTATTTGCTTCCATGTTCAGAACCATTTGAAATAATGTTGCCTGTACTCTGAAACAATATTATCCTGAGTTATTGCTTCCATGTTTGATCTGTCAATATTTTGATTGCTTCCATTGCTATTGTTGTACGTGTTTTGATTGCTGTCAATTTTTTCTTGAGTTTTGATTCCTGTCTTATGTAGATGGATGGCAACATGGACGATTTGGCAAAAAATGGACAAAAGGGACTACTGCCTCTTGCAGAACTGTCGCAGCAAGCTGCCATTATTGGTGAAATGGGTTACCAATACACTGAGCGGTATTTGCACAAAGGAAAGTATAGGGAAACACCAGAAACTGGACTTTAATGGGTTATGAGATACACTGAGCGGTATTTGCACAAAGGAAAGTATAGGGAAACATCAGAAACTTGACTTCAATGGGTTATTGATGAGATGCACAAATGAGCACTAATGTTTTCATGGCACTGCATGACTTGCTAATCTCGAACTACGGCTTAACATCAACTAATAATGTATCATCAATGGAGTCATTGGCAATGTTCTTGTGGATCGTTGGAGGACCCGAATCATTTTCACAAGCTGAAAATCGTTTTACCCAGTCACTCTGGACAGTTCACACTAAATTTCATGAAGTACTGAATTATCTGCGCAAGTTAGCAAAAGACAATATCAAGCCAAAAGATCCTACTCTCTGTACTGAGCATGATAAGGTCAAGGAGGAATGTTTCTTGCCTTATTTCAAAGGAGCTATTGGAGCTATTGACGGTCCACATGTTCTAGTAGCAGTGCCAACAGAGGAAGTGGTCAACTACACATGTCGACATGGCTATACATCTCAGAATGTGCTAGCTGTTTGTGATTTTGACATGAGGTTTATCTTTGCGGTTGCTGGTTGGCCAGGTTCTGCACATGACACACGCATCATGAACCACGCATTAGCAAATTTTCCTTCATTTCCCGTGCCTCCTACAGGTATGCATGTTTCGTAACTGGTTATCAATATTTCTATTGTTATTTGGCTTTGCTGATTTGGTTTTATAGGTAAATATTATCTCGTGGACTCTGATTATCCAAACCGAATAGGATATCTTGCTCCTTTTAAAGGAAGCACATACCATATACTAGAGTTTCGACTTCGTAATGGACGTGCTCCTCAAGGGAAGAACGAGGTGTTCAATTTCTTGCATTCATCTCTTCGAAATGTTATTGAGCGGGCTTTCAGGGTCTTGAAGCAGAAGTGGCGTATTTTGAAGGGCATTCCAAGTTTTCCTACTCAAACTCAGAAGCATATAATTCTAGCTTGTATGGCATTGCATAATTTTATTCGTGACACCAATTTGGAAGACAAGTTGTTCGATAGATGTGATGGTGATGAGGAGTACCTGCTACAACACAGTGCCACGGCAGACACATAAGAAGATGACAATCAAGATGGAGAGAATGAGAACACCATGAATACCATTCGCAGTAGGATAGCCGATGCTTTGGTTAGTGCGAGAGGGAGATAGTTACGTTGAAGAAGGACATCATTATGTGAACCATATGCCTTTTGTAATATCCTATAATTTCATTTATGTGGACCATATGTTAATGGTGAATGAAAATCTTTAAGAAAATTAATTTTCCCTTTCTAAAATGGTAATTTACATGCCAATTAGTGAACAAAACAATGTTTTACAATAAATTTGAATGTCGGCATTCTCCTAGCAGTTTAAGGGCATTATAGACATTTCTTACCAAACCTACAGCTTCACAGCCATTCTAACCAAACGACTTCCAGCTTTCTCACAGCTCATAGCTCATAGTAGCTTTTCTCATAGCTCACAGTAGCTTTTCTCACAGTCCACCGTAGCTTTTTTCACGGCCATAGCCCAACCAAATGGAACCGTGGTCTATGGCAAACGAATCGTCAACATTGGACCAGTGGAGCCGAGGTCGTCAGAGTTAAAATCGGATGGATTATTTTAATCGTCTCGGCCGCTGCGTCCATGCAAAGCAGCCGCGCACGCTCCCTCCATGCCAGCTGCTGAGAGATACATTTTTTTATTATAGCATGCAGGCTCTACAAATTGATGTGCACAACAACAGTCGAACTTTTAGCTGTGTTCGTTTTTTCTGGATCGCATGTGGTTCGCTTTCACACTGGAGGTACCCCAGCATCTCCAGCCGTTTGCCTCGTATGTTCTCTCTAGATGTACATTTGGGAATTATCTCAAACATATGGAGGACATGGTACCCACTACCCAATCGTGTGCTCTCCCCATGTGTGCACCGTTATCTTTTTCTTTTTTATCCCATTTGACAATAACGCTATAGTTCATTTCTATTTATCCTCACAATAATTTGAATGTAAATCGTCCAGCGCTTAACATTAAACAACAATTCAAATACAAATTTTGGTTGTCATAGGTTGAACTAAAATTCAACTTTTCCACGTCATAATTATTTAAATATTAAAACATAGTCAACATGGGTCTTGAAACATTTGATTAATTGCAAGAAATACGGTCATATACTTTGTTTAAAGATTTGTTTACCATATTTAAGAGTAGAAACCATTTATTCTAGAAAAAAATGCGACCATGTAGGCTTGCAGAGATCTTTTCTTTAGCCACAGCTCACAGGAGAACTCTTGTTGGATGCCTGGATGGACTCTGTTGCGGTAAGGTATGGGCCAGACCCACAAGACTTCTCGGCTCAAAACAACAACCATTCGCATAGTAAAATTCATTATGCAATTCAACAATGTATAAAACTCCTACCATTCCATTCACAAACTAATCTGTTCAGTCAAATGGGATCTACTTTATGTAAAAAAACAATACACCACGTAAGGCTTTGTTTGGATACACTTTTATCCACCGGAATCCATTTGTGTTAGTGTGGAACTAGTTTAATTTTTACTCCAATTCACTCTAACACGTATGAATTGAGGTGCATATGAATGCATCCAAACAAGTCATAAGTGAAGAACATATATTTTTATACAGTTATAGCCCAGACTTATTACATGGTTGCAAAATGCAAATTAACTGACATTCAAACACCCTATGCATGTACTAAATGATTTAGGTTTAATTTGAGTTTTGCAAAAATAATATTATGGCGGGGTTTTCCTCCTCCAATAAGTTATGAAAATCAAACATCTAACGACCCTCTAGCACAGTGAGACTTATATCATTTATGGACAATTGCTTGTTGTCAACTGTCTTTCTAGGTGGGCGATAGTCTCTAAGTGCAAAATCGTAGGTTGCTTTGGCGTTGGAAGCGGTGTCATTTTGTTCTCCAAAGATGAACACAACCACCGACATGAGTGGCCTGCAACTCGGATTGTCTTGAACACACAAGAGTGCTATATGGATGCATCGTGAAACTTCATCAAGGGAGCAAATCTCCATGATAGATGAGTCCACCAAATCTTCTATTTTCCCTTCTTTCCATATGTTCCATGCCTGAAACATTACACATCAGTCTCACATTCAGAGATCATATTTTGTCTCCTGTGGATAGTTGTGAATTCTGACCATGTCCTTGTACTTACATATGATATAAGGTTAGAAAAATCCATGATTAGATGTGCTGATGAGCTAATCTTTAATCCACTTATGATCTCCAACAATAGAACACCAAAGTCAGTAGGTGTCGGACTTGATCTGAAATGTGCCTTGCATTGCATATTCGGGAGACATGTAACCATTGTGCAAATAATTTCATAAAAATTCTTTGCATATTTTTGAAACTGTAAAAAGCGAATGAATTCTAAGAGTTGGCAGTGTAGCTGCTACTTACTATGTCCCGACAACTCGGTTAGTATTTGCTTGGAGTTGGTCGTCATCACCACATAATATCCTAGCCATGCCAAAATCTGATATCTTTGGGCTCATCTCCTTATCTAACAAGATATTGCTTGATTTGAGATCTCTATGGATTACAGTTAATCTCGAGTCATGATGGAGATACATAATTCCTCTAGCAACCCCCTGGATTATTTTGAACCTTCTTGGCCACTGAAGCAATGATTGTCTTGTAGAATCTAATAAAAATAATACAGAAGAACAAGACATGTTAGAAGGCACAAATGAGCACATTTATTTGTTGGGTTTTATTGATGCTTTGAACAATTGGAATTGAATATACCAAAGAGAAAGTAATCCAAACTTTTGTTGGGTAGGTACTCATAAACTAATAGCCTCTCATCTTCATGAATACAACAACCGAGAAGCTTAACTAGGTTCTTGTGCTGCAACTTTGCAATTAAGACTACTTCATTTTTGAACTCCTCGGTGCCTTGCCCAGAACCCTTGCTCAGCCTCTTGACAGCTACTTCCTTTGTGCCTTCCAACATTCCCTACATGATTTCATAATCCAGAATTATAAATTTTTTTACAGCAATGTAATTTCCTAGGTAATCCCAAACTTTTTTATTCATACCTTGTATACTTTGCCAAAACCGCCTCTCCCAATCATATTGCAATCAGAGAAATTATCTGTTGCTATTGCAATGTTTTCAAAGCTAATAAATGGGAACTCTATTATGTTCTTGTCACCAGATTCATCCATAGAATTCAAGTATTCTAGCATCCTTCTCTTCTTTTGTCGTTTGCCTGCAAGTAGTAACATCAATGTATCCCTTTTGTTCTAGAACATCGGCACATTAACACTGCACACATTGTTTAAAACGATGGCTCTTGGTACCTGTTCTTTTCCATGCCCAGACAAGCGCTCCGAGTGCAAGTAATAGCACACATGCTATGATCGGGAGTAAAATGTTCAGCAAATTGATCGTGTTTTGATCTATACAAGGAAATGTATCATGTTAGAGTTTGCTGCATCAAGCATTGCTTACGATTGTGTGATGAGTTTACTTTACCTCTAAAAAAGAGTAAAAGATGGACATGCGAATATTGAAGAACCTAAGTACCACTTAAAAAGTTTCCTCGTGGATATTACTGATTAGGGTTTTGATATCATGACGCTCAGTCAAGTTATATGCTCATACATAATTTTCCGCTGCAAACATCAAAAGTGAACCTGATGATTAAACTTTTTCTTCTTTTTTGGCTGCTTCGGTAGTGTCAAAACTAGTACATAGGAAGAGATATGGTACGCTGTAATGGTTTATCTGATGTCTGATCGATCTAGTTGATGTCACGGGCAGGGTAGAATAGATCAGGGAGCACTACAGCACAACACTTTTTGTACATTCTCAAGGAGCTCTTGGAGATGCTCTAAGTAGTTCATTAGTTGTGAGTTTTCTTTTCTGCTAACTATTCGAGTATCCCTAACCCCCCCCGCACCCCCCCAACAACTTGCCCTCCAGTTGGAACGATAGGTACATGCATGTGAATTATTGAGGAAACCCGGCCCCACACGATAGCTGAAGTTTTAAAGTCCATTTAATATTAGGACATATGGTTGAAATCCTAAATTGCTTCGGAGTAATCTTCATCTTACAAATAGGCCATATGATGGTGATGGCATGACTCCTTGTCAGGTTGACCACTAATGTCACTTTTGAGGAAAGAAGGATGAGGTGTTAGGGATGCACGTACCAGGAGATTTGCCAAGTCGAATGTACAAGACCTCTTCAAAGATTTGCTTCCCCATGTCGATGAGATCCCCAGCCCAAACCAAACACCTCGATGTGTCGCCCATAGTATCACCATTGGTTAGGTTGGCGTAGGCGTATGCCATACACGAGCAGTTTCTAGTGCACTCAGCTGCACACTGCTCGAAGCTTCTATCCCTAATGTGCAAGAACTTGTCAGGAAGCTTCATATTAGGCATGGCCATGAAATAGTCTTCCTTTCCACATTCCAGTGCTTCCCTTCTGGCATCCTCTAGAGAAGTTGAGACTGTCAAGGAGCTCAAAACCATCAAGACACCGGCATGTCGGGATTGCCTCCGTGCGGTCACAGTAGCCGAACGGACCACAATAGGCGTAGAGACCACAGCTATTAGGAACCTCAACGATGACTGCCCATGACGAAGTGGTGCTGTTCCAAGCGAGGAGCCTCCCCTTGCCTGTATAGTCCAACGAAATGCGGATGTATGGTGAGCCAGGCGAGACGGTGTACATATAGTACGACTTGTCCGCCGTGTTGATAGTTGTTTGGTACAAGATCACGTCGACGCCATTGATTTGTTGCATGCCACCGGATACCGGGTTGCCATTAACAACAGGGAAACGGAAGTATGGCAACGCCCCATTCCAAATGAATAGCTGAAGGTTTGAGGTGGGATCCATGCCAAGAGAGAAATCTCCGGTTGATGGATCGTTAGGGCCCTTCCATGCAAATAAGTGTGTCGCCGGTTGTGCCTTGTAGCTTAGCAGTACCCTCATGGTTGGAAGAACGTTATCGGTCGGGTGATCGAAGCTTTGCCATAGCTCCGTGCCGTTCGGCGACCGAAGGACAAAGTTGCCGGAGCTGAGTAGCACCGCGGAAGCTCCGGCGCCACCTCCACCTGTGTCTCCTGTTGCCGTCCAAAGAGTGTGGCCTTGGGAATCCGACAACACCAGCTCTGAGTTGCCGGTGATGGCGAGCTTCGCTGACAGTGTTTTGATTGGGTTGTCACGGTTATGACCCATACCACAGTGCGTTCTGCAATGTGGTGGTACCAGATTCCTATGTACAGCTTCTTGCTGGAGTTGGTAGGGGAAAAGAAGCCAAGAGCAAAGTCTCCGCCCTCCGAGATGAGCGTGTCTTTGGGCAACAGTGGCTTTGTTTGTGTTAGCTGGTTGTCGGATCGACAGAGTGAGCTCAGGAATGTGAGGATGATGAAGGCGGCAATATAGACCATATCAATGTCCATTAGGCCTTTCTTGTTCATCATCTGCCTAAGCAGTGTGGAGGAAATACTAGCGTCTAGTGTTTATATATAGACGAAGATCGAGCATCTCTGGATTATTGACGTATATATGTAACTTTTTACGGTAATAATGAGTGGACCTATACTTGCGATATTTCTGTCCGTGGAATCGAGTCGTAGTAGCTTTCAACCATAAACGTTGTACGGGCGAGCGTTGGATGATGGCGAAGGCAGCAATAATTCCCAGACGACGTTTATTGCCATCTGTTGCTAAACCTAAACTAGAGGTTCTAGACTAACAAAGCACCGAGGAGCAGAGCACACAGGAAGCAGCGCAGCGGTGACTGCTGGTCAATGGTCAGAACATGTTCTTGTCAAAAAAAGAAAAATGGTCAGAACTTGTGGCTTCTTTTCTTGGAAGAATTAAGTCCAAATCGAGGGGCTGTCACTGTCAGCAGTCTATGCCGTCTGCAGCGGCGGCTGGGCTTGCCTGGCGCATCGCTTGGCCACTACCGACGGAAGTGAAGATGGGTAGGCGTGCTAGGCCACCCTTTGACGCTAATCTCTCCGCAGCATTTAGTGCCATCAGCGACAGCTCGTCGTCTCGCCTACGACTTCGATCGACTTCTTCAACAGTAGTCTACTCCCTCTATTAAAGTTTAATAGAGCACATCATCTTCATCTCAATTTTCAGTGAGTCAATCAATTTTAAATGTAAATAAGTTTATAGATGTACACTCTTTGGAAGAGGAGGGGGAGTTCATCGCTAGCTCGGAACGACATGAAGAGAATGTAACGATGATGAAAACCCAACTTGCTAGCTACAGCCTGTTCGCTAGTTTCTGTGACTTATAAGCCGACTGATGCTGTTTTGTTGTGAGAGAAAAACATTGTATTATGACTGATAAGCATTGCTGATACGATCAAGCGAACAGGGTGCTAGTCGGTTCTAGCTCGGAGACATTAATATCATTTGATATTTACTAATCGTACACTAATAGCATCATTAGCTGAGTAAGCACTAAGCAGGTGCACCAAGCGAGCCAGGCCCGGCAAAAACCGCCGCTCGTTTCCGCATAGCCTGGCTGTGGGGTGCTTTTTGAATGCGCAGAGCCTGGCTCAACCGCAGGAGCAGACAACCAAAACGGCGGCACCCTGCATCCCACCAGCCTGGTTCAGGTGGATGTAGGGAACCAAACAGGCCCTTTGGCGTTGCTGGTGGGCCTTGGCACTAGGCACGTGGATGCTATGCGCTGTGAAGCCATGCGATGCAACCAGTGAATAAGGGGGTGTTTGGGACTGCTCCACAAACTCTGCTCCATAAACTCCACCGTGGAGCAGCTCCACAAAAAACTGGAGTTTGTGGAGTACCTCTTTAGGTGCTCTCATAACTCCACCATTTTTCTTGGAGCAGAGTGCGTGGAGCTAAAACCGTTTGACTAAAAAACGTAGAGCAGAGCTGAAAAACATGGAGCGGAGCAGTCCCAAACACGCCCAAACACGCCCTAAGAAACCAATTAAACAAACTCGAAGTTCGGCCTGGCTCACTTCAAGTTTTATTTATAACACAAGATCCATGGCTTCTGAAATTTATAACTTACTACTACACCAAGTTGATAGTTGCTACTAGAGAACCTTTATGGGTTATTAATTAAACAGACCATTTAAGTCCGAGGAAAAAAATATTCCACCCAGAATATATCACACGGGTATAATATAATAATCATTGTAAAATACACAACAACAAAAAATAAATAAAACTTAAATAGAACAAAATAAAGAGAGAAAAAAGAAAACTAAACTTTAATAATTAGATTTCATGTACTATATGAACCATGAAAAAACACCGTGGAACATTCCATAGATATACTATGTGAACAAGCAAAAATATTCCACAAAACATTTTATGTGTACTATTAGAACAATCGAAAATACATCATGGAACATACTATAGATACTACTTGAACAACGTATATTACACCATGGAACATCTCACAAATACACTACGCATAGAAATATAAATAAATAAAGTATAACTATGAATACAAGAAAGAGTGCTATAAAAGCAAAATAAAAAAATAAAATTCTTAATTAAAGTAAAATGATGAAGAGAAAAAAATTTAAAAAACAACACATGATATTGTTTGAATAACCTAACATATACTAACAAACATATCACATGCATTTATATTAACTGAACATCTGAAAATATATTTAGAACATCCCATTTATATTAACTGAGCATCCCAAAATATATTGTAGAACATCACATGTATATTGCGTGAACATCACGGAATAAATCGTAGAACATCACATGTATACAACGTGAACTCCACATATATACTACGTGAACATTACATATATCTCATGGAACGTAGAAATTTTAAAATGAAAAATAAAAATTTAAAATAAACTACTTAATTAAAGTAAAATAACAAATAAGAACAAAAACCTAGAAAGAAACTAAAAAGAGCATCGCATAATACTATTTGGACAGCCTAAAATATACTATAGAACATATCACATCATATGAATACTACATGAATAATAAAGATAAATAAATGAAACATCTCATGAATACAAATTTTATAGAAAAATAAAGAAAAAACAACTGAATATTCAAAACACATCATGCAACAACACATTTATATAAACATTTCATGTATATCAAGGAATTTAGGAAAAAATAACTCTTGAGTAAATTGAAAAGAAGTAAAAAATATAATGAAGAGAAAAATAAAAGACCATCAGAAAAATTTAAAATTAAAAAAGAAAAGAAAAGAAGCAAGAAAATAAACACATGAAAAACATGACACAAAGAAAAAAATAATTACAAGAGAAAAAAGAAATATATAAAACACAATATAAGAAAGGAAAAGAAAAAATATAACCAAAATAAAAGTAGAATAAACAACCATAGAAAAGGAAAAGGAAAAGGAAAAGAAATAGAAATAGAAATTAAAAATAAATAATAAATAATAAAT